AGAAATCTAAATGCATTTTTGTGTGAAATTTACAGTTTACGGTCAAACTACGTTCGTGCAATAAGTTCCAATGATAAAAATTAAAAATACCGAGAAAAAGTCCCATTTTCCTAACATTTTGAGTTGGAAAGTACTAGAATAACGGTGGCATATTTTGAACACAGGTAAAAATTTAGGAGACAGAACAAATTAGAAAGAAGTTCCCTTGATATTCAAAAAGTTTTCGAAATAATTTCTGTAACTCGAGTTAACCATAAATCCGTGAAAGCCTCACAAGTACTCCCTTATCTGCTGTTTTCCTCGAAAAATTTGTAACACAGGCGGCACATAGACTGATGCCTCGTGCGGCTAGAAGGTATATCAAATGAAGGCGATGCGTGCCGAAATAATTTCCAAAATGAATTATGTAATGAATTTGGATGGCATTGGTCTGGTTCGGATAGGCTTGGTAACTAGACTAAATGCACAAAAAAACGGGGCGTTCCACCTGAAAAAGAAGGCTTTTGAAGCCGGAACCTCATTTCAGTTTCGGTGATCTAAGCTGGGTTCCGATCAGCTAGGCAATTAAACTAACTGTTTGGCAAAGCGTAAAGTATCACGAAAAAATGAAGGCGTGTGAAATTGAAATCGTGTTTTTGAAGCCTTTTTGCACGAGGAAGGAAACTCTCATCATCATAGATCATTCGTATACTTACTCGCGTTACTCTTATTCATAGAGAACATAGAGTCGTAATGTAAGCGGGTGAGCTGGCGCCACTTTTGAGCATTTTCCAGGTCCCGAATTCCGAGACTCCTGTGTGACGCCGGGTCACTTTTTCGATACATAATCGATTGTTTGCGATACACGAGTACCTGGCCATCCGATGTAAACAAAGAAGATAGGAATCACCACGTATTCCACACCGCCATTTTGGATCGAACATGTATCGAAAAAGTGACCCGAACTCGGCGCACACCGGGCTCGGAACTCGTCGAGCAGAACGTGGCGCCAGCTCCCCCATTTACATTACGTACGACTCTATGTACACTATGCTCTTATTTCCTTAAAAATCCTCACAACCATAATTGAACTTAAAGTGCTGCAAGTTAATATCCTAAGTAGTTTAATAATAAATGTCTCGAGAGTATCGCAGAGAGCTATTGACTGAGCAATTTTTTATCTCATGACTTGAAGCAAGCGGTCAAGCAAGCAGGGTTTTGCGGTCATGTAGCTTTGCCCTACGTTCAGTTTTATTATGGTCGACTAAAAGAGCCGGAGTGCCCTGGTAAAAATTGGCAGTAGAATGTGTGTTCCAAAATACTATAGAACTAAAGCTGGCTGTAAGATTTCCAATAGCATCTGTAGCCGGCTATACAATTTCTTATAGCCTTTCATAGCCGATGGCGATTAAGTAACAACCAGACGATAAAGTTTATGCTAAACGTTATTAAATACGGATACTAAGACTTAGTTAGTTTTTGGACTACCGCTCTCTTTTTGTGCCGTAGTATCTTGATTTCTTTTGCGAGGAAAGCTCCGTACTTTTGAAGGATGCCTGTCATTCTTAATATGTTGGAGCTCCTTCAATTTCTTATGATACTGTGCAATACCTCTGGTGTGAAATAGTTGCTTCAGACGCCGTGGCACGCTGCGGCGCGGCGGGCGGGCAGAGAGCGCGAGACGCGCATTGGCGTTTACAAACCTAACAGGGATACTTCACGCATTGCGCAATGCGTGAAGTATCCCTGTTGGGTTTGTAGGCGTCAATGCGCGTTTGCGCAATGCGTGTAGTATCCCTGTTAGGTTTGTAGGCGCCAGTGCGTCGCCGCCCCGTTTGTGTTAGGCTCTAATATTTAATCTCGCGGAGTCAGCGTTTTTCAACTCATGATTTTGAAATGTTTGCACACTCTGTATGGATTATTCTCATTTTAATTGATGAAAAAAAAAAATATGTTTTAAAGGAAAATATAATGTGTGTTTTGTAAATATTAAGGTAGAGCCGTATCAAACTTAATGATTTCCAAAGCACACGAATTTCTACACAATTTTCTGTAGCCTCTTATAGCCGATGGCGATAAAGTGTAAAGCCCGAGGATAGGAACTATAGCCCGACTGTATACTTTTTTATAGCTTCGTATAGCCTGGCTATATGATTTGCTCCGCTTTCTACAGTGAGCTATTTGATTTTCAATAGCCTTCTTTAGTCGGCTATAAGAACTCCTATGGTATTTTGAAACGCAGCTCCTATCGCCAATTTTTACCAGGGTGTCTACATGTAATTGGCCTCCTGGAGAAAAACATTTTCCCCCGTCACGTCGCATGATTTTCAAATCATTTGGACGAGAATTTGATCTCGCAATTCTTCAAATTAGCTCCTTCAATTTTATCATAAACCGTCTCTTTCTTTTGCGGATTTTTTTGTCATACATGAACCAAGCAAAGCGGAGTCGTGTGGGGTCCTATCTCCCTGGCTGCCCTCAATTGAATTAGTTGTTTTCGCAAGCGAACGAATCCACTTTAAGATGAACCTTAGTTTGCATGTACTTCTATCCATCTCAGGGCTCCTACAGAAATGGGCTTGTTACCGTTTGAAAACAATTTTTCCAATTACGCTCGCTTTATTGAGCTATTAAGAGTCAGATAAAAAATGAAGACATGAGCCGGCGGTCAGTTCATCGTTTTAAGTTCTAAAGGTCAAACAAATGTAAGAGATATCTTCCTTACCATTACGTCTACAAATCGCGATAAATGCCAGCGCACTATTTTTATCTCTTACTTCTCATTCATTTTTGTTCCACAAATTTTTCTGCTGTTGTTATTTTCTCGTCGTTTATTGTCTTGTCGACTTCCCAACCTTTTTACGATTCAGACTCATCGCATGGACACGCAGAAAACCTAGTCGTTGCTCATACAACACTCATACTGGATTCCAGGTCCTATACCTAGTTGTAGTTACTATTTTTCCACAATGGCAGCATGGTATCTACGACTAGAAAATATGGTAGGCACTAGAATCCACTTTGAGCGTTACCTCTACTGACGTGCTAGGGAAGAACGCTGTATAAGCCATCAGGCTTTGTCAAATTTAATTTGAAATACAGCGGATTTTCAGGATAATTTGAGAATACGTCTCTTCCGATTCCTCGGAGGATTATGTTGGAAACTTGATCAAAAAAGTTTGAAAGTTTCAAGGAAACCTCCACTAGAGTACCTGCATTGTGAGAATGGACTGGTGTAAAACTCCGAAAATTCAGCAGGCCTTTCACCAATGCCTCCGCGAATCAAGTTAGGGCCCTAAAAAGCGGCCAACCTATGGCTGGATTCTTATTATCCAGAATAATTTATCATTACAAGCATTTACCCGTCGTTTGGTAAAATCGTATTTGACTAAGTGTTTGCATCAATTTACTCATTTTTACCGAAAACCCCTCTTTTAGGAGATGCATGTGTGGGGAATTTGCGATTTGACTTTTGATCCTTACGTAAAAGTTCGCGAGAAACACGATGGTGCCACTGGTGTTCCCTGAAATCAACTCCCAAGCTCAAAAAAGCTCTCAAGTTGAGCCCAAAGTGGAGGGAATATCCCACGCTATCCTGAGAGTCCACCTCAACATCAAGACGAACTCTCCACACAAATACATTAGCAGGGTTGCCGTGTTTTTAGTTTTAGAGTCCCCAAATAAAGTGGCAGCCCTGTCAATGTATTTGTTCCCTATCTTTGCATGGAGAGTTTGTCTTGATGTAGAGGTGGACTCTCAGGATAGCGTGGGATATCCCCTCCATTTTGGTCTCAACTTGAAAGCTTTTTTTGCTCTTTAGAGTTGATTTCAGAGAAACCCAGTGGCACCATCGTACCATCGCGTTTCTCGCGAACTTCTACGTTAGAATCAACAGTCAAATCGCAAATTCCTCACACACGCAACATCTCCATTCTTGGCCATCTGCTTGGTTTGAATTGGAATCTAGAAATTGGCAGTGAAATTTTGTGTGTCAGAAGGCTGGCCGCCCATTTGGGCCCTCCGCCCTCCATGAAATGAGTTGTCCATACTCTCGCTATACAGGCACTCTAGTCGCCACTTCCCATGGCGGCCCTAGGACTCAAAAGTGGCGGCGCTTTTGCGTAGTTCGAATCATCTGCTGTTTGAGATACGTCAGTAGATAAAGATCCTTAACTCGACTTTAATCAAACCGACTCTTTTCTCTTACCACTTCGGCGGATAGAGGAGCGAGGGGGTGTTCCGATCCCCCCACAGTTGAAGCTCGTCTATGCTCCCATATGGCACCCCTTTATGACGCTCTTCAGTACAGTGCATCGCTGTTCCGCGTCCTTGATGCACGCAGTATTCTCCTGATAATGCCATGCTGAAGAATAAGCGTTGCATTCCGGTATCTCTCCTCATAGTCTAACTAATTGTAAGCCAATTCGACTGCAAAGTAAGCTTATGTCTTTTACGTCTCTCTCCAGTGCTGCCGTGCTAAGGAAGAACGCCGTATGAACATTCGAGAGTTGCCAAATTTCCTTGGATAAAATGTTTATTTTTTAGGAAAATTATGAATATATTTCCTTGAGATTTTCGCAAGTTTCTGATCAAATCACAAAGACAATTATCTGAGAAATTGGCAGACAAATATTCAAAAATTTCCCTGAAAATTAGTGATTTGCCAGGGGAAATTTGGCAACGCCTGGAGGCTCATACGGCGTTTTTCCTTAGCACGGCAGAGTACCCAGGTAACCTCGACCTTTGCACTGTTCCTTATACTCATCACCAGCTGCGAGAGCCCTAGTTTTTATAGGCGACCACCCGATAAAAGTTATTGTCAACATTTCGCGCTGGATTAATGGGATTGATTGCCATTCTTTGAGGCGCTGAGAGATCGGACGAAATTACAAACAAATTCGTCACATTTACAAACAAATTGCCCCGATAAGAGCGCGGCAGATAAAAGCGTTTAGTGCCCCGTTGTAAATCATTCCGTATGTGTTGTTCGAAGGGATTAACCGTGTGTTTACTTTGTGTAGGGTCGTATATCCCGGGCAGCTGAGATAAATGCAGCAACGCCATCATGAGTACGAATTCGCTCAAGAGCTCCAAAAATGGCACAACGCCGGAGAAGACGACAGATCAAACCGGGACCACTATCGAGCCATTGGTGGACAAACAGAAAGAAGATATGAAGAGCGGTGGAAACCAGGTCAACCTCTGGCTGGCTGCTTGCATCTGTGAGTACCAACACTTAATTATATTAAGAGGCGCTTTAAGAGTCTGATTTTTGTTGTTGTTCTTTTTTGGAGTAATCCACGCTTCCTATTCGGCTACTTTTCCCCCAGGTAAGCCTTAATTCATGAAATAAGCTTGATATAATCCATAGTCCATAAAAAGTAATTTATGACGATCTTGATACGTATCGAGAATTTTTAAAACACTTGTAAGTACCTCGTTTGCGTTTTTTTCCCCATCAGAAAAGAAATGAGAATGAAGTTTTTCCCCGAACCCAAGTAGCAATGATCGCGATAAGTTGCGATTTAATCGGATAGTGTATCGCGATTGTATCGACGTTGATTTATTACAATATTATCGGATAAAAAATTGCGATTAATGTGCGATTTTATCGCTTATTTTTGCAATAAAATCGCGATTATATCGACGGCAATTTATCGCAATATTATCGATCAGAAAATTGTGATACATCGACATGAAATTTCGATTTTATCGAACGCGATTTTTATAAAGAGATAAAATTGCAACAAGATCGAGGATAATCGCTCAAATGGTTGATCACAGCGATTCTACCGCCAAAACATCGTAAAAAATCGCTATTTAATTTCAAAATATCGCAATTTTTTCGTTAAAAAATGCTACTTGGGATGCCCTCTAAGCTGTCCACCTGCGGGCAGAGGAAATGAAGCATGGAATAAAGAATTCATTATCTAATAATAATTTTTACTAAATTTTGTTTTCCCCTCTTTCCTTACCCCCTCTATACCCTTCCTTCCATTATGTGCTTCGTTTTTCTTCGCTCCAATACACCTTGCTTGCAGACATAATAGAGAGAGGTCACTGAGATATCAATATCATTCAGATAAAAGCTCGTTTAGAGGTCATACTTAATCATCAATGGAAAGGGAGAGAGATGATATGCAAAGGCTGTTGTTACTTATAGGATTGTGTATGCCTGAGACTGAACGTAGAGATAAAAATAACCGAAAAAAAATATCAGACAATTCTGAAAAAATTGTAAATAACGTAGTGAGCGCAATTTTTTCAATATTTTTTTCCGTGATGAGATTGGTCGATAATCTTTTGACCTACCTCGGATAATCAATACAGAAGACTACAGCGCGGATAATAATAGATACAGCACGCGGAAAGTTTTATAAATATTTTCTAAGGTTATTCAGGATGACTATTCTTCCCATCCCGCGCTTTGAACACTCGCCGAAAGCATCAAAAAGTGTTTGTATTCTGCCGTGCTAAGGGAAAACGCCGTATGAACATTCGAGAGTTGCCAAATTTCCCTGCATAAAATCTATATTTTTAAGGAAACTTATTCTCTTTTTTCCTTGAAATTTTCAGGTATTTTAGAAAAAAACAAACAACAAACAAAATTTTCCGAAAACGTTGAAGAAAAATTTTCAAAGTTTCCGTAGTAAATTCGGTTTTTATTGAAGGAAATTCGGCAAAATCTAAAGGCTCATACGGCGTTTTTCCTTAGCACGATAGTATTGCCGTTGCATGTGCGAAGAAATAACTCGTGCTCTTTCAATTAAAGTAAGTAGGTAGACACATCAACACGCAGAGAAGTTCCGAGGACCAATGTGCAAGTTCAAAGGAATTCGAAGCTCGAATGTAGAACGGACAGATCTCCACTGATAAACAAACAATTTCTTTGAAATGTTTATCGCCTTGACGTCATACATTGCTGCGAATTCGGAAGTATAATTTTCAAGCCGAAGATGATAACTTAACCGGCAGTTGAATGACGTTAATGAGGCCAGGGAAACTCCGGTCGAAATTTTTAAACTTTCGTTTTGGTACCACTTTGACATAGAGGCTCGGAAAAAATAAGGGTTTCCATCGGTAGTCGACACTAAACAATCCGAATTTGATGGTCCCCTAGCCCCCTAAAGTTTCCCTGATAGGGCACGGGGACTTTTGAATTCAAAATCTAGAGTCCCTCTGTACCCTGGTAAAAATTGGCAGTAGAATGTGTGTTCCAAAATACTGTAGACCTAAAGCCGGCTGTAAGATTTCCAATAGCTCAGAAGCTAGTAGCAGTTTACCAGCAGTAACAGTTAACAGTAAACAGCCCGGTTACAGATAACCGGCTGTACAATTTCTTATAACCTTTTATAGCCGATGGCGATTAAGCAACAGCCAGATAATAAAGTTTATGCTAAACGTTACTAACTACGGATACTAGGACTTACTTAGTTTTTGGACTACCGCTCTCTTTTTGTGCCGTAGTATCTTGATTTATTTTGCGAGGAAAGCTCCGTACTTTTGAAGGATACCTGTCATACTTAATATGTTGGAGCGCCTTCAATTTCTTATGATACTGTGCAATACCTCTGGTGTGAAATAGTTGCTTCAGACGCCGTGGCACGCTGCGGCGCGGCGGGCGGGCAGAGAGCGCTAAACGCGCATTGGCGCCTACAAACCTAACAGGGATACTTCACGCATTGCGCAATGCGTGAAGTATCCCTGTTAGGTTTGTAGGCGCCAGTGCGTCGCCGCGCAATGCGTGAAGTATCCCTGTTAGGTTTGTAGGCGCCAATGCGTCGCCGCTCCGCTTTGTGTTAGGCTCTAATATTTAATCTCGCGGGGTCAGCGTTTTTCAACTCATGATTTTGAAATGTTTGCACACTCTGTACGGACCAACTCATTTTAATTGATGAAAAAAAAATATGTTTTAAAGGAAAATATAATGTGTGTTTTGTAAATATTAAGGTAGTTCCGTATCAAACTTAATGATTTCCAAAGCACTCTAATTTTTTCTTTCGTATTTTGTGCTTTCACTGTGCTGCAGCGAGGTTTGCAGGCGATAAAGTGTAAAGCCCGGCCGGCGATAGGAACTATAGCCCGACTGTATACTTTTTTATGGCTTCGTATAGCCCGGCTACATGATTTGCTCCGCTTTCTACAGCCAGCTATATGATTTTCAATAGCCTTCTTTAGTCGGCTATAAGATCTCCTATGGTATTTTGAAACGCAGCTCGTATCGCCAATTTTTACCAGGGTATACTATAGGTCTGATACTAGGTAACTTTAAGCTGTCCCATGTTTTTTCTCAGCTTTGTCCTCTGTGTATGGCAGCTTTGGGGACCGTTCAAGTATTATACGTCAAGTATTATACTGAAGACAGTGGCGTCATAAGAGAGGGGGTAGGGGCACCCCCCCCCCCCCTGTGTTTCAGAACGGTCACGATGAAACACAAGGAAAATGAATCAAACTAAAAACTCGATTTTTTTTAAAACTTTTCATCATAGGTTTTGAATCATAGCGTGAGAGGGTCGCTAGAGGTTAAATTTGGTATCGTGTTATTTTACGGGCAAATAGAGTAGTTTGGGCTTACGCTAATTTGCGGGGGAAGCAAGGCCAAAAATTTCAGTTAGTGTCAAAAATTTAAACTTAAATCTTTTCTCTCGGAGTTTAAATCTTTTACTCTAAGCGAAATTTTTGAAATTTTCCGGGAAAATGGACTGCGTTAGGCAGATAGGAACCTAGCCACACCAGCTATTGCCAAATTTAATTGGGGAATTTCATTTTTTACATGAAAACGGTTGTGCGGAATTTTGTGCAAATTTCGGAAAATTTTCTACATTGTGCGAAGCAAATTCGTTTAAATTTTCAAAGGAATCCGCACAAAAGTCTCTTCTAAAAAATTAAAAGGAACGCCCAGTTAAAGACAATGACTGCTGTGGCTTGTTTCCTCTCGGCTGAACGCGGTCCAAATAGTGTAAAGCCAGCAGTCCAGCACTATGTTACATAGAATACATAGAGTCGTAATGTGAATGCTTGAGCATGGCGCCACTTTTAAGCATTTTCCAGGTTCCGAATTTCGTGACTCCTGTGCCACGCCGGGTCACTTTTCCGATACATAATCTATCGTTTGCGATACTCGGGTACCCGGCCGGCGGCGGCGATAGGCCATTCGATGTAAACAAAGAGGATTGTTACTACGTACTCTACGTCACCGTTTTGGATCGAAAATGTATCGAAAAAGTGACCCGATCTCGGCGCACACCAGGCTCGGAACTCGTCGACCAGGCTCACCCATTCACATTACGACTCTATGTACTCTATGCTATTTGACTACCATGTTACTCAGTGTTTAGGCCAGAATGGAGATGTTGCATGTATTTGCGATTTGACCATCGATTCATTTGTAAAAGTTCGCGAGAAGCACGATGTCCCAAGCTCAAAAAAAGCTCTCAAGTTAAGACCAAAATGGAGGGGATATCCCACGCCATCCTGAGAGTCCACCCCTACATCAAGACAAACTCTCCATGCAAAGATAGGGAGCAAATACATTAGCAGGGTTGCCGTGTTTTCAGTTTGAGAGTCCCCAAATAAAGTGGCAGCCCTGTCAATGTATTTGTATCCTATCTTTGCATGGAGAGTTTGTCTTGATGTAGAGGTCGACTCTCGGGATAGCGTGGGATATCCCCTCCGTTTAGGCCTCAACTTGAGAGCTTTTTCTGAGCTTGGGAGTTGACTTCAGATGTAACCAGTGGCACCATCGTGTTTCTCGTGAACTTTTACGTAAGAATAAACAGTCAAATCGCAAATTCCTCACACATGCAACATCTCCATTTGAGTGTTATTTTTTTCTTGTTTGGCAGGTAACCTGGGAGCATGGGTGGGCGGGAACGCCCTGACGTGGTCGTCGCCGGCGGTGCCGAAGCTGGAGAAGGGCGAGTTCCTGTTGATCAGCGAGGACGAGGGGTCGTCGCTGAGCTCGCTCATTGCGTTCGGGGCCGGGTTCGGTCCGTTCCTGGCCAGCAGCCTCGTGGACCGCGTCGGGCGCAAGACCACCCTCCTCCTCACCATGCTCATGTTCCTCATCTCCTGGGTCCTCCTCGTGGTCGTGCCTCAACTCAACGTCATGTACCTGGCCCGCTTCATCAGCGGCATCGGCGTCGGCAGCATTTACACCGTCACCCCCATGTACGTCGCCGAAATTGCTGAGGTGAGTCGTCCTCCTTCGTCGCTGTCACGGAGGCGAATCCAGACATTTGGCAACACCGGATTCCCTCCATTTAAACCTATGTTCAATGATCGCACCTGGTCCCTTAAAGAATTGATACATTTCCAGTGGCGCACTGAAAACAAATTCTCGGCGTTTTCACGAAGGTCCGTTGGTACCTTTACCATCTCACTTTTTTTTACCAATTAATGGTAATTTTACCAAGACAGACTGGTAAACTTACCTAAAAACCGGCATTTTTACCGTTTTTTTTCAGGTAAGGATACCACTTTTATTGGTAATCAATTCCCAGTAACTTTGCCATTTTATCTCGGTAATTCTACCACAGTCGATAAAAAATATTGGCGTTTTTACCAGGTCCAGTAAAATTGCCGAGAAAGTTCAATAATTTTACCGAGATTTCTCGGTAAAATTACCAAATCCATAAATAGTAATTTTACCAAGAAAAAACTGGGATCAAATAGAACCATGAATTCTTGGTAATTTTACCCTTTTCTTAGTAAATACACAGAGATTTTTTTTTCAGTGCGTGGCGTGCTATGCGATTAATCGATTAATCTGTCATTTAAATCAATGATGAAGGATCGATAAACAGGGTGTTAGCAACAAGCACCTCAATAATCGATAATTTATCATGGTTTCAAATGGTCGAGAAATATCGATAATCGATCATTTATGCCTCGCCACTGGGACATTTCCATAGGTTTAAATGAATAAAAACAATGTTGCCAATTTGCTGGATCCGCCAATGCGCTGTCATGCCTCCATTCCACCCAGAGACAAAGAGTGGCTAAGCTCCACTGGCCTCCACCGCCGTGCTAAGCAGTGGCGTGGCTTGCTTTGCGATATATTGATTGATCTGCCGTTTAAACCAGAAAAAAAGGATCGATAAACAGGGTGTTCACAACCAACACCTTAATAATCAATTCTTCACCATAGTTTCAAATGGGGAAATATCGATAATCGATTATTCACGCCTCGCCCTCGCCACTGGTGCTAAGGAAATACGCAGCACACTGGACCGAGTCAATGGGAGAAGTCGGACAAAATTTGGAAACTTTAAACGCTCGCAACTCCGTTTATGCGGAATCTTGAGGTTCCAAGAGTGGTTTCATTGGTTTCTTCGTAAACATTGTTTATAGAAAGACCCCTTAAAATTTAAAGTGTGACGAAATTAATATCAACATTTTCAGTTTCAGACAAAAATTTCATGTCCGATTTCACTAATTAACTCGATCCACTGTGCGCCGTGTGAACCTTCAGGCGTTGCCAAAATTGCTTTGATTAAATGTGAATTCACTGGAAAAGTTGTAATTCTCTTCCCACCAATGTTTCAGACAATGTCGTTCGCAATTTAACCTAAGATATCTGAAAAAAATTAGGAAAATTACGCGTAACTTTCCTCAAAAATACATGTTTTATCCGGGGAAATTTGGCAACTCTCGAATGTTCATACCTGTGCTTCTTCCTTAGCACGGCAGTCTTGGCGACATGTGGAAACTTTTACTTTCGGGTATATATCACTTCCTCGTGGAAAGTTGTAAGGGGGCGACAGTTGTCACCTTTTTTTCGACCGTTAACCTATCTACCCACTGGGTGGATGAGGAGCTTCGGGTAACGTAATGACCTAAAGAAGTCTCCGGTATGTCTGCGAAACGGAATACCCGACACGTTGTTCAACATCCTCATAGGCAAGTCAATATTGCAGTCCCGAAAGTAAAAGCTCTCACCCTCACCAAGATAGCAATGCTACCATGATAGGGAAGAGAGCAGTAAATGCATGCTGCGGTGAACCTCGAGACACGTAAAAGCATGTCGACGGTGAGACTACCAAACCACGTATCTCGGTTCGGTCGGTCGCAGACTTCCTGTCATACTTTATTTTTTAAATAGAAAACCACTCAACGTCAATTCGTGAAAACTTCCGTGATTTTTCCTCTTTGAGCGGAGAAAGATCTGTAAAAATTGTAAGAGCTGATATTGATTTGATCTCCTTCAAAGAAATAAAATGTGAGTGGAGATTTTTAAACACCCTAAACGAGATACGTGGTCTGGTAGTTCCACCGTCGATATAAGCGCTTACAAGACTGTAGTAATACTTCACGCATTGCGCCAAACACATAGTGCGATATGCGATCGGCAAGCGGCGTGGAACGCATATTAGCGCCTACAAGACTGTATAGGAATACTTCAAGCATTGCGCCAAATAGTGCGGTCGATGAGGCGGCTGCGGAGGCTAAAATTATTAAACCACATTTCGACGGTGCAGGGTGTAAGTCCGCAACCACGTATCTCGGTTTACGACGTCGCAGACTTCCTGTCATACTTTATTTTTTAAATAGAAAACTACTCAACGTCAATTCGTGAAAACTTTCGTGATTTTTCCTCTTTGTGCGGAGAAAAATTTGTGAAAATTGTAAGGAATGATATTGATTTGATCTCCTTCAAAAAAATAAAATGTGAGTGGAGATTTTTAAACACCGCAAACGAGATACGTGGTCTGGTAGTTTCACTGTCGATGTGCTAACCATGGCTCATACAGAAATTCGTTTACTTCTCTCTCCGCTGTCACAGAAACATAGAGGGTCTCTTTGCCTGTAATTCCGTCCTTTAAGCCACGGGCACCCAAAAACGAATCCAGCGGGAAACAGAGAGGGGTCTTTCGGCCTCACTTTGAAGGAGGGATAAAAAATGAGGGAAAAGCCCTGAGGGGTCCGTCCGGAAAATTACGTAACACACTTTTTCGGCATTTTCGACTCCTCTCCCCTTCGTAACGCGTTTGCGATGTAGGCCTCTATCTTTTAACACGTAAAAACTAAGTGAACGTATTTCTATCGAACAGAACTAAGCGCAATCGGAGGAGGAAGGGAGAGGGGGGCTTGAATTGGCGGGTGTTGCGGAACGCGATGCTCGTTCCGTCCTATACTCGCATTTCGATAGCGCTTAGTTCCGTTTGACAGAACGCCTAATCCGGGATTCTAAATTCCTCAAAAGGAACTCAAATTGGCGCTTAGTTCCGTTTGACAGAAATACGTCGAATTGAGGGCTGAACTCGAGGTTATTCTTAAAGCAGGGGAGGATGGACAGTCCACCCAGTACCAGCCCGTACACTAACAAACGTGCCTTCAATTAGTGCCTTGAAAAACGGAACGAATGCTGTGTAACTTAGATCAGCGCCTGGACGCAACTATTCAAGCTCGATGGGTGTCCGCGTTGCATACTCTAAGATCTGAAGGCGCCCATGGTTACTTTGTCCTAGCAGCGTTGTGAATTCTAAAATCCTCAAAAGGAACTCAATTTGGCGCTATTAGTTCCGTTTAACAGAAATACGTCCAAATGGCGTAACGCTCTCCTCGACCCCCCCCCCCCCGAGCGTTACGTAATTCAGGGACGGCCCCAAAGGATAAACCTAAGTTGAAAGGATTCTGGTTGACTCAAAGATACTCTCAAAATAAATATATCATTGTTATATTTTATATATACTAGACAGTGTATTTCCATAGAATCCTCAGCGTTCGCCCTTCATAAGAATTCAGTTACCTTGAAAATTAGCATTTTATGAAAGAGCCTCTTTCCCCTAGTAGCAGAACCTAGAAGGAAAAGATAGAGATTATGTACGAAAGTTAATTTTTTTATATAATGCATGCATACGAAAGTGTTAAAAGTGAACATTTTTATGTTACCATTATATAAAAAAAGTCATAATTTTTGTGAGCTTTTCGCAAACACACTAAAAAATCCTCTAATTCGCGAAAAGCTCACGAAAATGATAACCTTTTTTTTACATAATAGTTACATAAAAATGTTCACTTTTAACACTTTCGTATGCATCCGTTCCATAAAAAAATAAAAAAATTGTCCATAAAAAAAAAAAATTTCCTTATCTATTTTTTATCATTTTTCTAATATTATGGTCAGGTCTGAACCTTGATTTTTTTCATATAAGCGTTGCACGTTTTTTATATAAAACTACCATTTAGATAACAGATATGTTTTTTTTATACTTTTTTTAGAGAATTAAAAATTTGCTCTGCTACTAGGGTCGATGGAAAAATTCATGGAAAAAACTCCTGTCTATTTTCCAGGTATCAGTTCGGGGAGCTTTGCTGTCTATAATGCAGTTTTTCTTAGTTGGCGGATTTCTTCAAGAGTACATTATCGGACCTTACGTATCATATCAAATGCTCATTTACATCAACCTCGTTGCCCCTGCTGTATACGTGCTAACGTTCATATGGATTCCTGAGTCACCGTACTACTATCTAAACAAAGGGAAGAAGCAGGAAGCAACCGAAGCTCTGCACTGGTTCAGAGGAAAACCGGATCGAGAATTCATCAACAAAGAAATCATTGCAATAGAGGTATGTGAGCTTCCGTTACTTAAGTAAAAAATATTTATTCACTTCAAATTAATGCGGACGGCATTAAGGTGACTGTTATAGACGAGAGTCTTAATAAAAAAGGGTTTCGTACGATGTTATAGCGAGATCGTTTTGAAAGAAATGTTTTCGGCACCAGTTGCTCTTTGATATTGTAGGAACGACAAACTACAGAGAGACGTGGATCAAAGAAAGGACACTGGATCTTCTTGAGATGAATTCGATTGTATTGTCGGAAAATGAGAGCACAAAAATCACATAACAGTTCGGAAAATAATCACTTAAAAGAAATGTGTGATGTCGCGAGAGAGGGCACAAAATTGTTAAAGGGCGATAGAGAGAGAGACTTACACTCTCTCTCGCCCTTTAACAATTTTGTGATCAATTTTGTTCCACGGGTCTAGATGTCAATGAAAATTCACACGAGTTCAGAGAGACGGAATAAAGTGACAGACCTAGATTTTAGGGCAACCCATGCTTATATAGTCTTGCTGACGTCACGGGTGGTGAGACAACAAGCCTACGCGTGATTGGCTGGCTATAATCTATGTAGCTATCAGCTGTAAGTTCAGTAATTAAAATTAATGTTGATATCAGAGACAAGAGACCCTCCACTGGCCTCCTAGCGACACGTGGAAGCTTTTACTTTCGGGGTTTCAACAATTCCTTATGGACAATTATTAGCGAGCAACAGTCATCACCCTATTTTCGGCTGTTGACTTACCTACATGGTCGATGATGAGCTTCGGATGACGTCATGAGCCAAACAACTTTCCCAAACGTCTGCCATTTTCGGCTTGTTTGCAAAACGAAACTGCCAACACGTTGTTGAACATCAACCATGTAGGTGAGTCAACAGTAGAATGCTGAAGTCCGGAAAGTAGTGGTATTTTGACACGAGAAAAACGAATTTGACGTTAGATTTTCAAAAAAACCGAAATTTCCAAAATGGCCGCCGGTTAAAGTTTAAAATGGCCGAAAATTGTCACCTCGGTTTTTTGCTGATGGATTTGCCTTAAACTTGGAATTTGAGAGTATTTTGGCATAAGATAAACGAATTTGAACTTAGATTTCTAAAAAAATCAATTTTTTGTCATTTTGAACTTTAACCGGCGGCCATTTTGGAAATTTCGGTTTTTTTGAAAATCTAACGTCAAATTCGTTTTTCTCGTGTCAAAATACCCCTACATACCGATTTTCGCGCAAATCCATCGACAAATAACCGGTGTGAATTTTCGGCCATTTTGAACTTTAACCGGCCGCCATTTTGAAACGGTTTGAGTTATTGACTTCGGGTTTGCGCGAAAAGTTTTCTTTTTTTATGCTCTTTCGAACGAGCTATCACAAAGGGGGTCTTCCTATTTGAAAATTAAAAGTTGGGGGGCCCCCCTGAAAATTTTAGGAGGGCCAAAAAGTAGCTCCCTTTGACCTAAGAATATCCCCCAAGTTTCAAATCTTTACCTCAATTAGGTAAAAAGTTAGAGGGGGTGGAAGGGACTTTTGGATCACCCTGTATAAGCATATCGTAAGGGAACACAGCGTCAATACCAATATACTCGTATAGAAATGGCAAACACTCATTTCATGCTCAAAACGGCAACACCGCCATTCGAAAAGCCGTGAGTTTAATCCTCCGCGCATGGCGAAGCTGTTGTTTAATGCTGTAAGTTGATAAACTTTACTTATTGTTAGTTATCTTTGAATTACAAATACTATAAAAGCTTGTTCGTATCTGCAGATTATCCTCTAGGCATCTTTGCACTTTCAACTTTGGCAAATAAACATTATCTTGACATCTAACCTCAGTGCACGTAGGGTAGAGCCAGATAAGTTTACGCACTTTTACACTGCGACGGAAGAGCCGCCATCTTGCGTCTTGCATTTACTTTACATGTAAAAGTGATGATAGACTACTGTAGCAGTGGTTGCACGCTTAATTTCTGCTGCTGCGATGCGAGAATAATTAATTAAACCTCAGTAATTTGAAGCAGGTGGAAAGTTAAGATTTTCCTTCATTTCCGGGAGATACCACATCTCATACCTAGTTCGGAGTTCGTATAGTTGCATGCTTGATTTCTGCTACAACGATGCAAGCACACTTCATTTCCGCTGCAACGATGCAAGCACGCTTGATTTCCACTGAAATTTTTGCAGTGGTGAATACATAGCTGAAATGCGCTTCAGCTAGAATTTTATTCACAAATGGGTGGTTTTCCAACGAGGATTAAAAATAAACAAGTGGCACGGAATATAACAAAGAATATGAACTACGCAAAACGATAATCCGGGTATCAGAACTGATTTGAAAACGCCTTCAAATGTGGCGTGATACCTCACACATTCCGGAGAGTTCAAATAGTTGTATCATTGCGCCGTAGGAATGTGATGGAAGATTTAAATGGAAATAGCCTTCATGCAGGCTCGCCACATCCCATCTCGGGCCCCGGTACCAGTTTTAAGGTCCGGGACCCAAGCACGGAGGGGGGGAGGGGTCCAAGGGGCATCCTCCGAGAAATTTTAGAATTTATACGACTAATCGGACGCATTTTGAAGCTGCCATAAAGAATTTTTCCATCAATTTCTGCGGAATAATCATGTTTTTTTTTTTTTTTTTTTTTTTTTACTTTTAGCACAAAATACTTGCGAATTGTTGCAGTCAAAACATCTGGAAAATTTTTATTTTTTTTATCTTGTAAATAGATAGAAATTTTCCAAGAAGTATACTTCTTTGAAAATTTAAGAGGAATTCTACAGTGCCCCAGCGTGTTTTTGAAAATCTATTCACCTTTTGCGAAATTTTTAGGGTAAATTTTTCACTTTTTCTTACGAAACAAGGGTTGCATGTGAATTCGTAGTGGTGATTCACGGGTAACACGGGCCCCCTCCGGGGCCCGGGCCCCGGTACCAGGGACCCAGTATCCCCTCCCCCTTGTGGCGGGCCTGGGTTTTGCACAGTATCATACGAGATTGAAGACACCCCAACGTATCATAATTGATGGCATCTTTCAAAAGCGCAAAGTTCTCTCGCAAATTAAATCGAGTGACAACGGAAAAAAGAGTATAAGTTATAGTAAGCACTAGCATCTGTATTCAATAACGTTTAGCATGATTTTTTAACTTGATTAGAAGAAGAATTGACTTGATTTAAATAGAAATATGCTCAAATTTACCCCCTGGAAGATTGTCTTATGAATTAATAAAAAAAATAATGATCTTTTAAAGAAGAAAATATAGGCTTATATAAAAAGAAAAATCACATCAAGCAGAACCCCGCTTTCATTCAGCTATTTTATTCTCGATTCAAAATAAAAGCTTCTTGACGGCATACTCAAAAATGTTTCAGTCTAAATCGAGTCACTTTACCATCAATATTTGAATCAAATAAAGTAGAACTAGACTATTAATACAACGACTATTTAGGTAATGATATTTGAATGACTCATATTTGAATGAAATTCAAAAATTATGCTAAACGTTATTAAATACGGATGCTAGGACATGGCGAGTTTTTGGACTACCACTCTCTTTTTGTGCCGCAGTATGTTGATTTATTTTGCGAGGAAAGCTCCGTGCTCTTAAAGGATGCCTGTCATTCTGTTGGAGCGCCTTCAATTTCGTATGATACTGTGCAACACCTCTGTTGCGAAATAGTTACTTGAAGCGGCGACCAGCGCGATACGCGCATTGACGCCTACAAACCTAACAGGGATACTTCACGCATTGCGCAATGCGTGAAGTATCCCTGTTAGGTTTGTAGGCGCTCATGCGTGTTTTGCGCCAGCTGCTTCGCTCTGTGTTTGGATCTGATATTTAAACTCGCGGAGTCAGCGTTTTTCAATTCATGATTTTGAGATGTTTGCACATCTGCATGGATTATCCTCATTTAAATTGATGAAAAATAAATATTTATTGCAGGAAATATAATGTGTGTTTTGTGAATATTAAGGTGGTTCCGTGTCAAATTTAATGATTTCCAAAGCACTTTAAAAGTGTTTCGCGCTAGCTGCACTGTGTTTCGACTCTAATATTCAAACCCCAGGAGTTAGCGTTTTTCAGCTCATGATTTTGAAATGTTGGTAATTTCGGAATTGATTATTGTAATTTAAATTATTAAAAAAATTAAGTACTCACCAAAGGAATACATAATGTTTGTTTTGCAACTATTAAGGTGGCTTAATGAACTTATTTTCGATCGCTTGTTAATTATTATTTTTTGAAACATATAGGCGTAAGCACGCTTATAGCCATACACCTACGAGTATAAAACATGAATCAAACACCAGAAACAAGTTATGTGATTGCCGACTTACACCGTCGAAATACGTCCAGGCTAGCTACTTGTGGTGGAGTTTTGATGATAACGGGTTATTCTCTGATGCTTTTGCAGGAGTCGGTGCTGGAGGCGCAGGCGAACAAAGGCCGCTACATTGACCTGTTCAGGAGCCGCGGGAGTTTGCTCGGGCTTTACCTGTCGTGCGCCCTGGTGGCGTTCCAGCAGCTCAGCGGTATCAATGTCATCCTCTTCTATTGCCAAACGATCTTCGAGCAGGCCGGCGCCTCGCTGGACCCCAGCATCTCGGCCATCATCATCGGCGCCGTCATGCTTCTCGCTTCTGCCGTTACGCCACCCTTCACTAAAAAATTCGGCATGAAGATGTGCCTCTACGCCTCTGCCGTAGGAATGGTTCTATCTCAGGTTCGTCATACGCCCGCTACACTACCGTGCTTAAGCCCAATTCACACTATCAAACTTTTCATCCAACTCTTGGATGCAGCTTAGTCAACATAATGTGGATTGCATTTTGCAAAAAGGAACCACTGGCATTGCAATGTTGCTAAGATTGTGCAACTTCTTTTGTCTTGGAGGAGAAACCCGATTATCCATTAATAGTTTCTATTTTACTCGCTAAAAACTGTAAATTTAAGACAAAAATTACCATCTGAATTTCATAGTTTTTCACGATTTTCGCAATTTTATTGCAAAGGATGAAGTTGCACAATCTTAGCATCATTGCAATGCTAGTGGTTCCTTTTTGCAAAATGCAATCCATGTATTATATTCATTCGTCGAATCCGCCGACATGATCACTGCAGTTAATTTTCGCGCCCAAAACAGGAAGGATAGGCAACACACAACACTCGAAATTACCGAATGATGTGGCGCCTTGGCTATTTGAGGACTAATATTGATTTTTGTACACAGTTTTTTCATTTTCTTCTACCTGTGCATTGTTCCTATTCTCACTTCTCCTAATCTTACAATAATCGTACTTACTCGTGTGTATCAATTATTTTACTTTAATTTTCCAGGTCGTTCTTGGTTTTTACTTCTTCCTAGATTACCATAAATACGAAATAGTTTCCTCTCTTGGGTGGATGCCGGTCACAAGCTTGATTGCTTTTATTATTACATACTGTGTTGGTAAGTCAATTTGTATAAAAAATAATGCGGAAACTTAAATATATTTTGTACTGGCCAGAGTCTTTTTCAATAAAATAAATAACGAACCAATCAGGTATGTTCTCACTCAAGCCCTTCAGTATAATGAAGTACGTACCAAGTCATCATCACTGATGGGAGAGTGTGAGTGGTTCCTCGTTGGTAAACTCTGTTGAGTTCTAAATCAAATTCTAACATCAATTAGTTTATTTTTATTAATTTTTTACAATTAGAAATTATTATTTCAGCACCAAAACAAGCGGCAAAATTAACAGTCAAGAACTGGAACAATGTTTCATCTTGTGCCTGTCTAATTAACATGTGACTCCATGGTTTACTGAGCAGTATTCTCTTGAGCCCCCAAGCACTAGAGTATTCAAACGCAAGGTTTTAAAGGGCGACCAATGATCATACATAAGAAATTGGGTCCTCTTCTAGCAATACAAAAAGAAGATCTGCAGTATGCCTATGCATGTTACTGACAATTTCTTTACATTCGAAGCATCAGGCATGTATTAAAATTGGGTAATTCCTGAACATTTTTATGTATGTAATGTTTTGGTTTAACGTGAGTTGTTGTGTAACTCACAGGCACTCTCTTTTTCCAGGTATTGGACCCCTCCCATGGGCTTACATGGGTGAACTATTCCCCCAAAATTTAAAGGCCAATGCTTCTGCAGTTACCGCAGGATTCTGTTGGTTCCTAGGCTTCTTCATCACCCGTTTCTTCTCGCCTCTGACCAAGGAAATTGGTCTTCATTTTGGATTTTGGTTATTTGCAGCATTTTGCGTTCTTTGCTATGCATTTGTATACTTCCACTTACCGGACACAACCGGTAAAACTTTACAAGAAATTCAAGACATGCTTAATGGTAAAAAAAAGTCGCCACAAAAAAGTTCTGCATGACATGTTGTACAAATATTGTGAATTTTCCTTTGTACAAAGCTAATTACAGTTTAAGACATTCCAGTTTTATTTATAATGTAAATATTATTTTTATTCAATACAGAGTTTTCATTTTTCTATTTTTGAATTGTTTTTTTGGTCAATGGTATTAATTAGATAATGCCATTGATGTACTTTTCTACTTTTGTACCAACATGTATATGAAAGAAGGAAAACAGGGTACAAAAAGAAAAGGACATAGAAATAGAAGTTGATTTTAATAATTTGTATTTTTTTCTGGTTGTGAACAATTAATAAATTTATCTTCATAGAAATAAAAGCAAGCAAAAAGAGAAGACAAATGACTGAGATAATTGCACCAGTAAAATTATGCGTGCATCAAGATAATGTCTCCAGACAAAATAAGTACAAAAAGACATTCATTAAAAATTGATACAACTGTAAAATGCTTTTTCATAGGTACAAATAATATAGTAAAAACTTAAAAAAAAGAAACAGTTCTTTACAAAATGATAAATTACATAAAATTGCTTGAAAACAAATTTAAAATATTTTGTATACTTTCCTCTGCCTTACACATGATTTTTTAATCTTTATTATGACATAAGTGCAAGATAAACAGGATTTGCCTAAAAAAGAACTACCTAAAAGCAAATTCTTTTTGTGAAATTCTACATTGGTAAGAATTTACAGCTAAGCTAAAACTGTCCTCATACAAGACAAAACATTGAAATAAATAGAAAATAAAATTGCACAAAGGCTCTCTTAAAACCATTAGTCTGGCAATAAAAAAACATTGCAACTGACTGCATTTCATAACATAAAAGCACTCATCACCATAAGAGTATTTTAATAAATTTTTCTACAAATTTTCCTGAAAACGAATGGGTTTGATCCTCAAAAGACTAGTTTAAGCATTCATCGAAAGTCAGTTTCTAAAAACGTTGGAGTTTTTATTGTAAAATTTTTCGGAAAATTATGCATATTAATTCGGTTAAGTAAAAGGAAAAATCTTTCTTGTTGTATGATAAAATAAAACAAGATATTGGTACACATATAAAATAAATGACTAGAAATTTTAAACGTAAAAAGAGCAAGTTAACCAGTTGAAACGGCAGTGGAATCAATTTCAGGCGCTGGTTTATGTAAGATGCTTAATGGACGATGGTGCAACTGTTTAGTGCTTTCTGTGTGGCAGTTTTTCTTTGAGTCGGCAGTTTTTTGAACACTTGAGCGTGCTTTCTTGAGAACATCAGTGTACTCTTTGATGAGGGTTGCTATTTGGAAAGCCTGAAGACAAATCAAAAAGATACAAAAATTAAAATACGTCAATAATTTTGTAATCCTTTTCCTGTAAAGAAAATGTTTATTATTTTTTAAAGACTAAAATGAATAATATTCCGTCTGCACAATGATTAAGTTATTGCAGTTATTCAGAAAGGCTTTTGATCTTCCTAATTTTTCATCCTCTTACAGACTTTTTAATGTTGATTGAAATTTGAAAAACTTTGGAGGGTCAGTTTCACAAAAAATTTTTAAGTTTAAAAAAATCTGGATGCCAATAGGGCTGGCAAGCCCTATTGGCACTTTGATGAAACTATAAGATTATCAAGTCACTAGGGGGCTACGCCCCCTGGCCGCTACGCAGCCCAGCCCCTGAAGGCGCTCCGCGCTTTCAATGGGCCGCTTTACCCTATTGTAAAAAAACCTGGGTCTTATTTCCAAAATCTGATTAGAGCGGACTCATCTAGAGATAATTGCCCGTTGATAGCCGCAAAAATCATGATCATATTTTCAAAATCTGAATAGAGCGGGCTCATCTAGAGATAATTGCCCGTTGATAGCCGCAAAAATCATGAAAATCGGCCCGGTAGAACACTGGAACTAAGCATAACCAGTTCTGCAAAATTAGGTCTCAGAGCTTATAGTGTAGATTGAAAAATTAAGTCATTTGTTCCGGTAGAGCCGAGATATTTGCAATGGAGCAAGAGCAATACTTTCCAACATACTTATGCTCAGCGGAAGAATTACAAAACTTTCCTCCTAGTTGTTTTTAAACTCCTAGCTGAGCAAAGTTTTCAATTTTTTGGCTTTGGCCTAATGACGAATTTTATGACAACCTTCTAAATTTCATCAAAATGTATTCAGTTCAGAGCCAGAAAACCTCTACTGATGTGCAAAGTTTTTTTAACATTCAGTGGCTTGCCATTTTTTGAAAATGAGAAATTTTAAAAAATCGAAGGTATTGCACAGAAGTACAATTAAGCTATCAACCCACCTACCTCAATACACGTCTGTTGGTCTAAGTTATTAAAAAAAAAAAAAAAAAAAAGGTTTTCAAAACAGCATATTGATGGCTAACAAACAATACCACCTATCTGAAAACTGACGATTTTGCAAAAAGAAGAGAAAACTTCGCCATTTCTGTAATTTTAAGGATAAATTTGCAATTTTCTTATACATTACAGCGTCATTACAGTGTTCCCCTGTGGAATTGGAAAAAACTGAAATCATCTACTTGAGTATTTGATATTGTAGAATGTGGCAAGGTTGCTAACCCACTTTTGCCAAAATTGTCAGTTAGGCGGTATCATTTGTTAGCCCTGGATATGATACTTTGATGCTCTCATTAAAAAGATAATTTAAATACCAAATACAAAGTCTCAAACCTGAAATAACGAATAAACAGTTCACAATCGGCCGATAATACAGAACCTCTTTTTGTACTGAATAACACAGGTAGTTTTGGAGTCATTTTAATTTCAGAGAAGAGGGCAAAAAAAAAAAAAATTAAAAGCATCGGAAAATACTGTGACTCACTTGTGATGTTGTTAGAATTACTTTGCTTTGTTTTTGTTCCGTGATTGTAATTATCATCAAACAGTTAAGAGCTGGACTGTATGATAGAATTGAGCTGTATTCGTAAGTGACCAGAGTATGCCTTGATCGGTGCTCCAGTAAATGCAAGCCTGTTTGGTCCACTGCCAGCCAGAGAACACGAGGCCAGTTAGACGTGAAAGATTGCTGAAAAATAAAAAGTGCAAATTGAGAAAATCAAATTTGATAGAGTTTAAAGTTAGAAGGCTATATGTCTCAAGTTTTTCAAAGAATTGCAATTAAATGGAGTGTGAGTTATACAAAATCTCAGTAATTAAAAATCATCTTCCACGCACTGCGGCATACCACTACAACTGAAGCTCAATTTTCCCATGCTAACTCATTATTCGTGTATCTCAGTAATTAAAAATCATTTTCCACACACTGTGGCATACCACTACAACTACAACTCATTTTTTCCATGCTAACTCATCATTTGTGTACTACAAGAGGCCAAGAGAGCCAAGTTTAAAAAATAATCAATAACAATGTAAATAATTCTCTTCCTCTTTTAGAGGAAGAAGAGACGCAAATGTTTCATCTCCTACTTATTTCCTAATCAACCAATCAACAACAGAATTTACCTGCTAAGAATGATTTTTTGCATCACTATGGAAATTTTTTGTTACTTATACATTTAATTTATTGGCACTTAATAGCTCTTCCTTTGTTTCATACATTATCAGTATATTCATTTAAGAAGTTAAATCCTTGCTATTGAAAAGAAGGAAAAGAAGAGAGATAAAATGAAAATTTTTAATATAGCCTACTGAAAACCAAAATATAAGACTAAATCTTACCATAACATCAAAGATGGTTGCTTGATGCAGGGGCCAACTTTTGATTAGACTCAAGAAAGCTTTTTTGGCTTCATCCGAGGTCATTCCACGAAGACTCTGGTGATGCATGGCAACGCACTCGAGAGGTATATTTGGCACTAGTCGCGCGGACATGCAGTGACTGACTGCTGCATGGTAATTGGCATCAGTCAATGTCCCACTATCAGAGAATTCTACCTGAGCTTGTAGCGAGCACAACATGATCTGAAAAAACGTAAAAGAGAGGCATAAAGAATAGAAAGCATAATGATGATGCTGTTGACAAAAGTGGTATTATATTCAATGTGAAAACCAGCAGGCTGATTATTTAAACTGAGAGACAAAGCAGTAGACAAAGAAAACAAATAGAAAAGGAAGCAATCCTTTCGGTGAAAGCGAGTGGTTGCGACCCGTGAGAGATCCCATTCTTAGTCTATCATTTTCCGTTTTATTCTACAAGAACCACCCGTTTCAACCAACTGGATTTCTTTGTCTCCTATGTCCATTGCTTTGTCTATCAATTTAAATAACCGCCCAAAAAGTCATCTCTGATTATATGATTTCATTATTGGTGCTACATGAATACAAACTTGCGCGATTTTTGGAAAAAAATTTGGCCGCTCAAGGAAACCATTCAAAATTTTGCATGAACGGTGGAAATCCCAAATGACTAAACAAAAAAAAGAACAATTTGCTTTGAGCTCCATCGCTCCGTCTCATTGTAATCTTTCATTGACCGATGAATTTTAAGAATCAAAATACGAAACGGTCAATTTTTACATCTTTTTAAAAAAAAACGGCCATGCATATTTTGAAGATGTCTCATTCAGAGTGCCATTTCTATTTTCATTTTGAAGGTAAGTACAAGAACAAGATAATGGAGTCCCCAAAAATGGACCAACACTCTAAATCTAGGATGCGATCATTGCAAAATTCGAGGATAGAACCAACCACAGTGGTTCATAGATTACTGATTTGACTAGGTAGGTTCAATGCACTGAATCAGTTATTCAAGCTCAGTTTCATGATGCAAGGATAGGAAACGAGTATATCTGCGATACTTACAGCCTCATTTTCAGATATCGGGTATCTGTCACATCGCAAACTGTGGAGAACTTGATGGTAAAGAAGCTCTTTCTCGACAGGATCATCCAAGTCCAAGAACTGATCCAAAAAGAGGTGCTTCTTGAAGAGGAATAAATGCTGCTGAGATTGACGCTTGATTGTTTGCTTTCCATTGGACGAATTATTGATATTTACAGAAGCGGCGATTGACTTCCTCTGTCTCTCCCATTTAGACATGACATCAGCAAGTTTTTCTTCACTGAGCAAGCTTCGTTCGGAACTCCCGCAAACCTCATACAAAGCGTATCCTACAAATGAAGAAAAATGAAATTTGTTGCTTTAACATTGTTGCTAGAATATTTCAAGTGCAATCATAAAAGTGAAGCAATGGACCACTAGACAAGGCACGACTTTCAGCATTCTGATACATGATTCCTAACCAAAATTTCCTGTAAAACACAAAGCGCACACCGAAAATTACTGAAATCAACTCCTTACAAAGATATTTAATGATTCTTGATGCGTGAATTCAAACCACCCGCTCATGAAAACTCAATACGCTCCATGACTCACATCGTGCACTAAACGTTATCATGACAGTCTCTGCGATATAAAAATCGGGCAACCTCAAGCTTGTTAGGAGACATTCTTACACTCTCTGTATTCTCCTGACTTTGCTCTGGTCTGGTTTCTGAGAATAATCAATTTCTACATTAAACATTAGAATAGACTGAATACGCAGAATTGATAAGTACCCATAGCATTTTCTCGAAGACATATTTTAGCTTTAACAGCTTCCACCACCTCTTTAGCTGTTGCTGATGGTAAAATTTCAAAAGTATGGTACTGCCCATCCATGAAAAAGATCCTAGTGTAAATTGGGCGTCTATTTACAGTGCAAAAGATCTCTTCTCTGGATGGAGGAAGTTGACGTCTAAGTTTCCCTTGAGCTTTAAGTAAGAGCTGGAAAAGAAAACAAAAAAAAACAACTATATAACTAAAGAATAATTTGAAATTCAAAGCAGAACATTAGAATGAAGCTCAGAAAGTAAGAAAAAATAAGGAGAAATATTCACAAAACGGGGAACACCAATGATGATTTGCTACGCCACTAGCATTAGGTTCTGCACTTTCAAAAAAAAATTCCTCAGCTTTTTTTACCCTGACAATGATTTTTTTAAGTATTAAGTTATTCTCCTCAAATGCTCACAACTTTAATTTAATGAGGATCATGTTAAACATTGTTATTAAAACATGTTAAACAATTGACTAGCATTTTGATTGACATAGTCGATGGTTCCTTGCTTGGACTCACTTTTTGGCACCATATTCACAAGAGCACAAAATATGCTGTAAATGACATAAATAGGCAGTACTCACAGAGCTAATTACATAATACCTTCAGAAAATCTTTAAAAAAAAATCAATCAATCGTTCAAAATTATCAGTTACAGGGATCTGCAAGATTAAACATTCTAAGAAACACTTACAACGTCAAAGAATAAGTTTTTTCAAAAAATTCGGTTTATTGGAAAATTGGTGAAAGATGGAGAAAAACTAAGGCCAATTTCGGATTCAGTAGAAAAAACTAATAGCCTGAAGCTCCATTAAAAACCTAGATACAGTGATGCTTCCCATTCTTTCAGACGCAGAGCCAATAGATCAGTTTTACAAGGGGGTATGTGGGCGAATCATTCCATTTGGGTGGAAAAATCTCTTCATCAGACACACGGAAAAAATTATGTAGGCATGCATTAAGTGTTTTTCTACATATTTTAGACTGATTTTTTTATGACCTTGGTTCTCTACATGCAGAAATTTCCTGGGAAAATGAATCTTCCTTGAATAATCCCGTTTTTTGAAGAAAATCTCAATTCTCTTGAAGATTGGTCGGTGTGGGGAAAAGTAAGGTTATTTTCAGACTCTAGGATATAAATTACAAAGAAATCAGCTGCCACACCTCCGGTGTTCTGTTGAAAGCAGACTTGCACTATAAACTGATTTCGTGGCTACGTCATAATTCAACTGTAAATAAACATGTGACCTCATCTTTGATTCGCGTGTTTAATCATGGTCGAAAGACCCAGGTCAATCTGTTAGCAAGATGTTCTTTGGGATTTCTGGATCTGGCAACGAATGCCCCCGATCTGCTATTCCACTCCAAAGTTTCCCCGATTTACGTTTGCGGTGCCCCATTACATAGTTCCGCTACAATCTCCCTGATCTGCATAAGACCAATGTAATTGGAACGGGGAACAGCAGAGTGGGACAAATCGCGGGAATCTGATGGCAATGCAGACAGCCCTCACCCCTGATTTGCAAAGATTATCACACTCAAATTTTCTGACGGACTGACCTGGGTCTATCGACCTTATGTTTAATGAGTCATTAATTGAATTAAGACCTATCAATGAATAAATGGGCCTGATGCAAACTTTTGCTAGAGCAAAAGTAAGAGTTTTTCTATCATTAAATGTTTCAAAAATGAGCGCATCGGCAAAGTTTGAAATGCACCTCTAACTTCACAACCTGCATAAGAAATTTGCGTTTTTTTTAGCTTCCCGCTTCAAAAACGATACCTTGGCCTAGGTAAACATTTCGTTAGAGGTGTCGTTCTTTCTAACCCCTGTGCACTGAGATATTACACAATATTCAACACTGATCTGCCAAAACACATGTGCCTGGCTGAGATTCTACCCATTTCTTAACATCCAAGCATGTTCACAATCACAATTTCTTTGCGTTGATACCTAAAGATCCGCTTTGGTTGACCTTAGGCTCCCAATTGCGATTTGCGCACGGAAGCGCCAGCTATGTTGGGTTTTGCTATTGAGAGAGGGTTGAATGTAACGACTCCTCTAACGAAATGTTCACCTGTGCCGTAGAATCGTTTTTGAAGCAGAAAGCTCAAAAAACGCGAATTTCTTACACAGATTGTGAAGTTAGGAGTGCATTTCAAACTTTGCCAATGCGCTCACCGTGATTTTTGAGACGTGTACTAATAGAAACAACTGTTATTTTGCTCTAGCAAAAGTTTGCAACAGGCCCATTGTAATGAAATAAAACAATTAACTCATGAAGAATTTGTAGGTTACATCATGTTTGTTTTGGTTTGAACCAAGAGTTGGATATTATATCTAATAACGCAGTCAATAATCAGTGTGTTTCAAGAAAAAATGTGATTTACCTTTTCAGCATAACTGGCATATCTAGCCATCTGGTTATGTCGTAAAGTTGCAGCTGAGTGCTTCAAGTGATACAAACAATAAGTTCCTAAGGGTGGCGCTGGGGGCACAGACAAACTACATGTGATGCAGAGAAGTGCCCAGTAGCGAATGCTGGCACGCATATTCACACAGTCGGTTTCTTTCAGAGTCGTTGGTGTTGTTTGCTTGATTAATTGGAGATACAATTCATTGAGTAGGTTGTTACTGGATAGGGCTCGCTCCGTTAGACTTTGAACTAGAGCAAGTTGATCGTCTTCTGATGAAGTTGCTACTTTTGGCAAAGCTTCACCTGAGGGGAAAAAGAGAGATACAAAGTAAATCAATTCTTTTTAATTCAGACATGATACTTAGAGAAGCTTCAAAAAATGGTAATAATTTTGAGCATACTGAGCCTCCCTTACTTAATTTAGAATATGAATGAGGAACGTGAGATTCAGTTTCACTATTAAGAATAAGTCCTTGATGTTTAATTATCCTAACTGCATAAAAAATAAATGGAAAAAATTTTGTTCTCAAATGAAAGGCTTGGTGGACAAGGTGCATAAGTGCAGTTTTTGCTATTTCGAGAAATACGTTTTTGAAGGATCGAATTTACATGGATCCTTAAGGCGGAAAGAAAGTTATTACCGACTTCTTGATGCTGAAAAATTTGAATTTGGGAGCAAATTTTTCACAGTAGCTGCATTAAGACTAGTTTCACTTGAAATCATTAATACCTCAATTTTTTCAAAAACTGCACTATGCGCCTTGTCCTCCAAGCCCCTCAAATAACCGTTCTGCTCGATATCTATTAAAATCGAACTGAATTATCTTTCTAACTCCCAAAAAGGAAAGTAAAAAAGAGAACTTCTAAGCTTTCACTTCTTGAGTCTAATACTACCAGTACTTAGAAAATAATGTTGTATTAAAAGAGGTTCCTTTGCAATATGAGAAAAGGGCCATACCATTCTGTCCCAGGCCTGCATACGTGAGAATTAGCTGGAACATTTGTAGGGCAATTTCCTCTTCCTGTTCAGACAACCGACTTAAGCTCTGAGTGATTGGATGGCGTGTACACGTCCAGTAAGATAGACCAAATCCGCGATAAGTTTCAGCACCTTCAAGTCGTAATTTTTCAAGCCTTGTTTTGCTTAACCTGTTAAATAAAATGAAAATTTGATGATTTTTCACATTAAAACTGGTCATGTAAAAATTTAAATGATAAATTAAAGAAATCTGTAGTACATAACAAGTCAAGTTGGTTTTACTTATTCATCTCTCACACACAAAGTGTATGCCTGAACAATTATTAAGAAACTCTTGAATCAAGATTGCAAAAATTTATATTCATCAGTTTGCCCATAGATACTGTCAGTCCTACTAGGCACTTGGGCATAGTCCAAACAGACAAACATTGACGAAACTTGTTGTGCAGAAAGAAAATCACCAATCTTACAAAACTCATTGTCAATTAATACTGGTTCAGCAGACATTGTATGACCCCTACTGTTTCTCGATAGAGAACGCCTGTCCAGACCGAGCCTGAAGCGTTAGACCCCAACTCTGTGTTATTAGATCAAAAGACACTGTAGGCTATCTATATACTTCTCAGTTGCCATTGCACGTCTGCCATGCACCAGCCATTGTTAAAGATAACAAGCTTTGACCAAGCCACCCATGCACTTCCGTTACTCCAATGTTATACACAATTTTTTCCAAACAGTTGCCTCACGGTTTTGGGTATGCACCTCCCTAAGTACCTTAAACACATAACTGAGAGACATGTTTGGCAGCACCGTGTTCCATTCCTAGCATCAAGGTAATGAACTTGAATCTGGAATATTTCCTCAGTTGTCCAGGAATAATAATTGCTAATAATAGTGGCGAGCTGACAAAATGGATGTAGTATTGCATCCAAGCTCTCTACAACAACGTTAGTTCAAAAGAGAATAAATACGTTGCTAGGATAAGGGTTTTGATGGGACCAAAAAAAAGCGTTGTCATATTTTTAAAAGAGGCTTTTAGTTAAGGGTCATTAAATCGAGGTTCCACTGTATTTTAATGCATGTAAGCAGTTCCTGATATGCTTGAAAGGACTAGATGTATTTAGCTACCCACCATCAGAGAATAAGCATCTTTACAGGTCAAAATCCATCATGAAATAATAGATACCTCTATTGGAAAAGTAAGCTGCTGAAAAAAAACTTGAAAAAAAAAAGAGAGAGATGTACAAGAAAGAGGAGTAATTACCTGCGCAAAGTATTACGAATGAAATTGGCAGCGGAATCGAGGGGCTTCCGCAATAAATCGCTGTCCACAAGAGCACGCCTAGCATTGACTAAATTATGATACAATCTTACTCGATCTTCAGTCGTCATCAATTTAATCTAAAGAATAACAAAGAATTTAATATAATAATGGTGAAGAATTCAAGCTTCTCAGGAAAATATGATCATGATTAAAAAAACCGAGAGAAAGAGAAAATTCTTAAAAAAGGAATGAATGTGCAGTTGAATTCAATCAGAGCAATTAGCCATTACGTATAATTTGTTCCCATTAGGCAGGGTTTCTAACTGGTGTGTTAGGGCTCCATTGACTGTCTTAATAATGATGATTTAGGTTGATTTTAGTTTTAACGGACTTGAGAAAAAAAGATAACGTAACAAATTCACTTACTGGAAGCTCCGATTGTGTAATGCAGTTGGTCAAAGGTGGGTAATAACTAACGATTAAAGATGCAATTTCACTTCTGTGTGCTGTCTCAAAAACAATACAGTGATGTTGGTGAGAATTGTTTGTATTATGCTGATGAGTTAGATTTATAGTTATAAAATTGTCACTTGGATCAAGATGTAGCGACTCCATTTGGCTATAGTCAAACTCGTACAATAGAAGCTTGTCTTCTGGTTTGATGAGCAAGATTCCATGGCAGTTGATTCCTAGTATCACATTGTTACCTACACACAAAAAGTTTGAAAATTAAGTAAAAAATGAAAATATTAGCACAAGTGGTATAAGCAAGAAATGAACTTGGGAGCACATTGATACTGAAACTGCAGAATTTCCATCCGCAACTTTGCAGACTTCCTGTCATACTTCATTTCCTACAAGGAAAACTACAGCAAGTCGTTTGTTGAGAACTTCGGTGATTTTTCTTCCTACTTGCAGAATATTCTGTGAAAATTTTAGGCCATGATGTTGGTTTGGTCTCCTTTCAAAAAATAAAATAAGAGTAGAGATTTTAAAACAACGTATCTGAGATATGCACTTTTGTAACTTCACAGTCGCTTTTAAAGAATTTCTCACTTGAAACTAAATTTCAGTTAGCAACCAATGTCTAACCAACATTTGTTGACGCACACTCCCATTGGCAAAAGTTTTTTTTGGAGACTCTCGGGCCTTGTCCACACAACCTTGGTTCACGGAACATATTTCGGCGAACTTGTTCGCAGAACAAGTTAGAGCTGACCTACAACTTATTCCTCCAAACCCTGGAGCTCCCGCTGAACTCTGAGCTTCTATGTTACCTTTGATGTGAGTTCGTTCGTTTTTGTTGTTTACGTCCTTTATGTCTTGACATTTCATTTTGTTACTCTCGCCGCCCGAGTAATCTATCATTCAGCAATTATTGTTTAGTTTTATTGAAATTGTAATTTTATAAGAAGAATGGCTTACTCGCAAGACCTCCCTAATTCCTGCCATCAAAAACACAAAATTCCAATTCCCGTTTGAACGAACTCGTGTGGACAGCATCCCTCGTTTCAGGAAACTGAGCAGTTCGTCGAATCAGTTTCTCGAACCGTGCTCCTGTGGACAAGGCCTAGCAAGATTCTCGACAGTAGCAGTCAGAACATAACTTTTTACGACAGTTTTGATTCTCAACCTTCCAATAAGAACGCAAATCAACTAATGAGCTTTCTGGAAGAGAAAGCTCTGAATAGTCAGGATAAGCTTCTTTTCTTAGCGATCAATACTTGAACAAGCAATAGAAGATGAAATTAAGGCTAACAGTTTTCCCAGTTGAAGGCACTCTAGGAAACAAACCCAATCACATTTTCAAGATTTTGTTTTCAAAAACCTCCTCAATTATTCTGCCATGCTAAGGAAGAACGCCATATGAACCTTCGAGGTCTGCCAAATTTCTTTTGGTAAAATACGAATTTTCGGGGAAACTTGTCAAAATTTTCCGTCCAATTTTTCAAGGAATTTTCTTTGCAATGTGATCTAAAACATCAGAGAATTTCGGGTAGAAACATTCATTATTTGCCTCAAAAATTAATGTTTTAAGAGGAGAAATTTGGCAACTCGCGGATCTTCATTCCGCGTTTTTCCTTAGCTTGGCAGTATTATGAGGACTGAGGTGATATAAGTTTGTAAGTTGATAATTGTTACAGCCAAAAATGAAAGATTTTGGACTCTCTGAAACAGCTACAGGAAAAGTTTTACTTGTCACTCTCCACACTTATCTCTGTGAAGAAAATTTTGTGAAAATTCCAAGCAATAGCATTGGTTTGTCCTCCTCTGATAAAATTTAAAAGGAGAGAATATTTTAAATACTGTAAATGAAATAATTGTTCCTGCAGTTGCACCATCTTAATGTTTTAAAGCTAGATTTGATCGAGGAATTTCCTTCCTTCGTGTTCAATTCTCCAGTGTTCCCTGTTTTATGATAAGTTCAATGTTCCCAAGAACTTAAGGCCATGGTGTCTAGAATTTTTGACCAGGCTTATTCCCTGATTTTCCCTGATTTACAGGAGCTCCTTCCCTGATAAGAAATCGTATTTAGCTCCTACTTCCCCGAGATTTTCTGGGGGAAAAGAATATAACTCTCCAGAGTTCCATTTGTGAATATCGATTTTAATTCCGATAGCGTTCCAGATGTTTATAATATCGGGTGAATGAAAGCTTCTCCATTCTTTTAATGATTTGAAGTTTCAAATGTGTCATTCAAGAAGTCAAAAATAGCGCTCGATCAGATTAGACCACCAAATTTGAAAACGAAATGATCCCTAAGCGTTAGAAGTAGAGATTCCCAGTTTCTGGAACAGATTCCCTGATTTTTCCCTGTAAATTTTATTCCCTGATGAATCCCGGTTTCCCCCGGTTTTTCCCATTCTAGACACCATGCTTAAAAATTGTTCGGCTCAATTTGGATCAAATCTATATGAAGAAAAAATAGAACTTACCATAAGACCAGTAGCCACGGTAAGTAACTTGGAACATTGTTGTGCCATACAAAGGATACTGCATTACACAAGATAAGTACAAAACTTTCGCCATGAGCTCAGATCTTCCTGCACCGTATTGCCTATGAGCTTCAGCAATAATAGGTACCTGTAGAATTTATTACAATTTAGATCAAATTTCACATCTTTGAGATCAAGTATTAATGAAAGAACCTAAAAAATTGAGTAGAATCAAATTCAATGCACCAAGTTTAAAAGAAGGGGACCCTTTGCTTCCTAGAACCATTTTCTTCTATTTTCTAAACGATGAAGTTTCAATACCTTTCTGTGAAATCTTTGTACCATTAATCATTAGCGCCAAAATACAAAATCTGAGGAAATAAGATTCCTTCAAAATTACTCTTCCAGGAAATACTTTTTGAAGCACTCCCACAAACTTTTAAAACAAGTATAAGGCGCTTCTCAGACCAGAGACAACAATATTGAAACGTCATGAATGTAGTGCTTATTCCTGTAAAACAAGAATTCTCTTTTCAAAGGAAAAAAAAATAATCAAGAGCAGATATTTTTTCCCCCTTTTTTCAAGTTAGGCTGTTAGGAGCAACACTTGTTCATGATCATCAAGGAGGCAACTAGGCACATATTTCACATCAGTTGGACCCATCATCTGTGCAGCGCAACCTTTTGCTTTTAAACTTTCAAGCTCAGAGATGTCATGTGTCATATGTGTAACACTTAAAAGGAACTTCTCATTTAATTTTTCCCCATTGTACAAAGTTTTCTTTTTGACAGAAACAAGTATCCTTAGGTACGATGTAATTCCAACATTTTTGCCTCATTTAGGGAGCAAAACTTGAGAAAACGTAAGGACTTCCTACCCAAACATCCTCGCCACGACACCGACTTATGCGGTATGGAAGGTAACTATCAATATCTGCGTAGTAGTCAAGTTTATCCATTTTGGGATCTCCAAGGGCAACCTGAGCTTGCAAACCGGCCAATTGTAGTGCAACTTTCTCGCTGACAGGAAAATCATCACACTGAAAAAAAAAGAGGAAAACAACAAAAAATAATTATTTCTCTCTATCATTAATTTTTGCATATGTGGATCTAGCAAAGCATTGCGACCTCTCCTTTGGAGAAAGCAGAAAGAAACCAAGCCACAGCAGCTATTGCCAAATTTAAGTAAGCAATTCAATTTTATACAAGAGGACGTTTGTGCGGAATCCTTAGAAAATTCCTTAAAAATATTGGTTCACACTATGTAGAAAATATACTGAAACTTACAAAAAAATCCGCACAACCGTTTTTATAAAAAAAATTAAATGAACCAACTAAATTTGGCAAAAGCTGATGAGGCCTGGTTACTTTCTGCTTAACGCGGTCCATTCCAAGAGTTATATAAGTAACAGCAGACTGGATGAGTAAAAATGATGATTCTGAGCCAAAAATTTACATAATAAACCATCGGAGGATATTTTCCTATGATAGATAGTGCTCAATGTTCATTGAAATATTATTAGTGAGAAAAAGAGAGAGAGAGAGAGAGAAAGAATTCAATGAAGAAGTATAAAGATTACATGTGCAAAAGTGGATTAATCAAGTCCCGGGACTTTATATTATACTTTTCTGGTCATGAAAAGTCCTGTGTTTCTTAACACATTAAAAAAAGCAGTAGATTTAAGGAGTCTTGAGACCTCTTTTCAGACAGAAAAGCTTAAAAAAAAAAAAAAAAAAAAAAAAAAAAACTTCGAAAAATAATAGGTAATCAAAATTTTACAGAAAGGAGAATAACTGCTGTAGCACACAATTCACTAGCTTGCTGTTTGTAGAGAATATTCAGGTGATAGAAAGCCAATTTTTTATTGTTTTTTATCAGTTCAGTCATCAAAACGAATCAGTCAGACATCTGCACATCAAGAGGTAACAACAGATACCTTAAAAATGAGGACTTTTCATGACAAAATGGAAGACTTACTTTAACAACACTATAAACTGCTTGAGCATATAAGAGATTAACTTCAACAGGATCTTGTGAGATTTCCCGTGAACTGCGAAACAATCGTTTTTTGAATATGAAACGATTCTCTCCAGCACCTAATGTTGCATTTGAACTACTTTTGCGAGTTAGCGATGCAAATCCTGATGAATTAGCAGCGGCAGCCATCTTGTTTTGTTTCCTGAAATGGAAATATATTCATTCAAATTTCATAAATCATGGGCGAGTACAATTAACGCTGAGTTTATAAATATCGCAGGCAAGTAGTCAAATTTTGACAGTTTGCGGAATTTTTTAAATTTCGAGGAGCAAACGAGTTTTCTATATTTTGGGGAAAATAACTCATCAGATCTATAAAGTCTCCTTCTTCCTACCTCTTCAAATTCTTATAATGGATTTAAAAGTTAACATTTTAAAAATTCTATGTTTTAGGACATGCTGAACATTTCAAGATAAGAGTTCATTTGGGAGCCTAAAATCGTTGCAAACACTGTTGCATGATGCACATTATTGTATAGAGAATTCTTTCCTACAGCAGCAAAGAATTATTTAGTCTGAAATTAGGAAAGAATCAGAACTTCAATCTAAGTAAGAATATTTGACTATTTCTTGCGACATAAATGTAAAATTAAAATTACTGGCAGACTCCTGCAAAAGAAAAAAGAAAAAAACCTGTAACTCTTGAAACATTTTCTGGGCTTCTTGGAGAGAAAATCAACTTTGAAAAACGCCTTGACCTTCTGCCTAACCAATCTGCACTATTCCCAGTCTTTTGTTAACGATTTAGAGCTCTAAATCTCTCTTCCAATTAGCGTTCTTCAAATTTAAGTTAAAAAACTAAGCTTCAAAATTGATATTTATTTTCAATCCCAGTGTCGTACTTATAGTCATTCATTTATCAGCTCCTTTCCTTGAGAGGCCCAATTTGATTTTTTTTCTTTGTGATTAAGCAGGTTTCAAGGTAAACCTCAACATTGCATCATAAAAAAGATAGTTTTAATGAGCCTGCGTAAAATTTAGCCATAAAACTTTGGAAATGGATCCTTGGAGGGCATTGCGATGATTGACCAATACAGAAAACACAAAATACAAAAGAAAATATAATGCGACTTTAGTACATATATAGTAAGTTCCCACCTACCGAAAAAATTTCCTTCCGCACTTTGTAGTGTGTCCAATTGTCCCACTTACAATAAAACTAATATTTTGTACTGAATAGTTTACATAGAGTTAAACGGTCAGACTACAGGAGCGAGTTCAATGGGTCAAAATAAGACTTTTTCGTTGTATTAAGTTTTCTCCAAAAGTACCCCCAGTCAGCGCTACACCCCCCCTCCCCAAAATTTTGAAAAGTAAATCATTTTCCTGAATTTTGGCAACATATGTGGACCAAATCTCATGAAAATTTGAACTTCCCTGTACTTTTATGCCCTGAATTCATAAATGATCTAAAAAAATCGAAATTTCAATTTATAAAGGGGGCTTAGGAGTTTTTCGGCTCCTGCAGTCTGGCTTCATAACCCTGGATCACCCTGTAAAGTATATATAGTATACTATATACTATATACTATAAAATAACAATATGTATGTAATATTTTGAGGGCTTCCTTGAGCCCCCCGCTGTCACAGTTTACACCAAATGAGACCTTATAAGAAATCGAGCTGATTAAGGAATGACTACAAATACAACTCTCGGTGAATCTTACATTCTGATCAAGGCACATTCAACTCACACATTTGTAAAAGAGCACCTATTTTCTAATCAATGATTATGAATGAATTTAAGGGAAAATAACTTACATTTCCCACTCTGCAATTACATCATATAAATAGCAGTGCGATCTGACATGCTCCTCTCCGTCCGGCCGACTTTGGTAAACAGCCCAACCGTCCAAAGACCTTAAGCCTAATTTATCAGCTAATTTGCTTGCTGCGTCACTTGCAGTATCAGTCGGATGAATGTCTATAGCTTTTGTTCTCCCATCTAAGAAGAAAAATCGACAGACAATCGTACCCAACCGCTTCATGGCCTGATGAAAAAGAGAAAAATACATTATATCAGTTCGTTGAAATTAGGTAAGCGCTACATCGTCATTCTTTCATTAATGATGTACAAAGTAAGTTACAATTTTCAGTTCAAACCCTACAGTCCTCCATAGTCAGTTGTGAAGGACCCTGCAAAAGAAAGCGCACTTCAGAAGAACGATTTTTTCTATAATTATACTGTGCGCATCCATTTTTTTGTACCAGAAACAGTGTAAATCAACTATTTGCATGCCGATTCTTCCCAAAATTCAACTGACCCATTCTCAGAAAGTTTTTTGATCTGCTTTGATTGTGAGTGAACGAGAGGGTGGATTAAGTTTTTGCTAAACTTCAACAAAAAATTTAGAAAGGAACACGAACAATTTTTCACCATAAATAAATAGGCAAGCAAGAAAAGAAAAATAATATAGTTGAAATAAAGAGGCATACTCACAGCAATTTCGACTGTGGATGGTGGATATTGTCGACTAGAGGCTTTCGTATTTTTACAATTATCAAGGCACCACTGCACATACTGACGAAGTTTTCCCTCACACTGCAGGTTTTTGTGTAGGAAACTGATAAAATACTGCAAATAATAAAATTCGGTTAGAAAATGGAAGAAAATCATGAAAAATGTAGAAATTAATAAATGTTTTTCATCCGAGCCTGGAACACTTTGATGAGACAGGTTGGTAAAAAAACAAAAAAAAAATTTTAAAAAGAAACCTACCGGGAAAAATAATCAACTGGGGTTTTTTCATTTCCTTTTGGGGAAAATCATAATACTAATTGTAAGTTGGTATATTATAAAAAGTAACCTCCTATATTTACCGATATGTTATTTCCAGATATTTTAACATGAGACATGAAATACGCTCAAATGAAGACTTTTCAATTAAAATTTCCTTGTGCTGAGCATGGATTCCCGCCCTAATTTACACATTCACACAAGTGCAGCGTTATCGCCGCTTCACTTTTATCATGTGCGTTTTGATACAAAAGCTCCATCTTTATGACTTTCGCTCTTCTTGACACCTGTTGAGAGGGATAAGGTTAGAAACCCTTCAACAATTTCAAGAATTTACTTAAATGTTGGGCCATAGCCATGCTGAACAAAAAATTTCAATTAAATGAGCTCTGTTCAATAAAAATTGGTAACACTTAAACAAAGAAGGAGTGTTGTCAAGCGGTAATCGTTCCTATGCCTAACAAAGTACAACTCAGCAAGTTAAAGCGATCCCCTTTTTTAAAAGTTCCATGTAGCAGAAATTTAAAAGATTCAGTATTTTGAAATTCATGAGTTGATAAAATATTAAAGTCATATGTTCTCAAAAGCAAATCAGACTGATTCTTACAACCATAAAACTCAAAAGGCTACAGTGTTTTCAGTATGGGAAGGTAGAAATTAAAATAGACTCACTTTGTAAAGAGCTTTACTTGGCTGAAATGCAACGATACACAAACACAGAAGAAGCCAAATCTGCTCAGCGTGTTCAACAAAGGGGTTATTGGTAACTTGTCTCATACATTGAACATAGAGTTCATCCCGTAATTCCTCTCTATCAAGGGCATACTTGATGATTGTTTGCAGCGTAGAAAGTTCCGATTCAGGCTTCAGTTCTCCTCTACTATACTTACAAAGATCCTAGTTAAAAAGAACATAAAATAAAAACTCATGAGAAAAAAAACAGCTTTGAAGATGAACGAATGCACTTGAAATTACTTTTAGTGACACACAGTGCTTGCCTCAGTTTTTTTCTGGAAAATGATAATTCTTAGAAAGGTAGAGTAATCAAGATTTTGGGAAGATAGCGGATATTGATATCAGTTGAATCAGGTCATGCAAAAATCGCCCAAGTCAATTTTTCAATTCTTGAGCTTTTTGAGTTGATGATACTTTTCAACATTAGATACGACCATAAGAAACAACTGACTCAGACTCTGACTTTGCGTAGAGACTCGCTTCAAGGTGATTTTAATCCTAAGATAAGTCTTTACCACACTTTCATGATTGCATGGATTCTTGAAAAACATTATCAACACAAAAACTCAAAGCTAAAAAAAAAGGACATCAGCGATTTTGGCACGATGCGATTCAACGGTCTAATTCGTCTGATGCACAAGAAATATGTATAAATGTTATTAAGTCCTAAAATTTGGTTTTTTCAAATGATTCTAGGTATTTAGGGAGCAAGTTAATAAAAAAAATGTAACTTCTCCCGAAAATAAAATGTGACAGATGTTGAAAGCCTAGAATGATAATACCGTTCAAATTAAGGCTTCAAACAACAAAAGCGCAAATCCAAGATTTTTCTGGCGTCAGTTAAATTGAAGAAAGAAAAAACTGGCTTGCTGACATCAAGATTCTACAATATTTGAATGTTTTATTTTGGAAACTTCCCAACTCTGGAAAAAAAAATTCCAGAGAACAGAAACAAAAGATAATTCTTGGATGGACAAGAGCCTTTAGAAAGTCCTCTCAAAAAGAACCCTGTAGCCAAAAGTACGAAACTTCATGGTTTTTTCATTCTACAACATGAAAGTTTTTAGACCTTCAAGTTGGGCACTTTTCCAAACAAACCAGAATTTGTACCTTAAGAACCCTTAACTATAAACAACCTTATCGATGTAAAATGAAAAGAGAGAATTTTGAAACAAAAAAAATGAAAGACCAATATAACCTTAAAAACAATTTTCATGCAATATTTCATTTCATATTGAAGTTTCATTTTTTTCGAGTTGGACGATTTTACCAGCAAGAAAGCTGAGGATAAGATTTAATTTAATTAGATTTAATTTTAATTTAAGATTAATAAGATTTCTGAGCAGAGCTTCATTAAAAGATGAATTTATTGGATATTAATACTGAAATTACATTGAAGAAGAAACTTTTGGCTCTGAATAAAGTCGTTTTGGTCTTAATATACAAAACGATAATGCTCGAGGATAGTAATTATAAGGTTTTCTGTACTTACTCTAAACATGCTGCACGCAATAGTAATGTTATCTGGATCATATAATTTGAGATGCGAAGTAGGAATAGTACAGCCTCGGTAATGAGTAACCATTTCATACTTAGGAATAACTTCTAGGGCTTTACTTTTCCTGGTTAGTGTAGCCATAATAGTACCTAAAATATTAATAGCAAAGTGTCGGATTAGGAAATATTCTTATGAGACTAGAATTTTTTACGGTTCATGGTTGGCTGATTGGTGCGTTCGTGGTGCTTTATCATCAGTTGCTCATTAAAACATTTTTTGATGTTGAAACTGCAGAAATACATAACTCGGTTTGCAGCATTGCAGACTTTCTGTCATACTTCATTTTTACTTGGCAAAACCTAATTCCTACACGTGATTTTTCTTCGTGTGTGAACATTTTAAGCCATGATATTGGTTTGGTCTTCTTTTAAAAAATATAATAAGAGCGAAGATTTTAAAACACTGCAACCAAGATATGCATTATCAACATCACACCGTCATTTTGAGTGCTCATTCAGAGAGAAAATAAATTTGGTACTCTGCTCTCATTGAATGTTTTCATAGAAATCTTAAAATACTGATTTCCAAGAACAGAAGCAATTAAAAAATATTGTTTCTACAAACAAGGAGGGGAAATATTATACAAATTAATATGTAAGTAAATATCCAAAGGAAAAAAATGATTGAATTACCTTCAGGAGTTTTTATATGATCATTGAAATGAGTTTGGGCGAACTCAACAATATCATGGTAGTTTTCTTGTAGATTGTTAGGTGCGGTTGTAGTGCGGTTATGAGACCCATTGACGGAGAGTTCTTGTAAACGCTTTTCTACCCTATTTCTTCGATTCAACTCCATTTCCGTTGCAGGCTCATCGCAAATGTTGGCTGAGCCTGTTCGATGAGAATATGGTGACTGCATCCCCTGCAAAAATGAGTTTTTCAAAACTGGTATTGAATCCTCCAACCCAAATAAAACGAGATGCCCCCAAGATTTTAAGAAACGAACACATGCTTAATCGTACTTTTCACTCAAATTTGTTGCAAGAGAAGTTACACTAATTGATTTAGTCCTTCAACTAAAATTTCACATTGACTGCTTGTGACTACATCAATTTTGCATTTACCAAGAACTCTGAGGTTGATTGTTACCTGATTATTTTAATTTTCAATTATCTAGATAAATTCTGCTTGGAGGAAAAAACCTTGAAGGTTCCAGGTAGGATGACAGGCGGCTTCTCAACAGCTCAAAAATAGCAGCAAATTCCAAGAAAAAGAATCATGTTCTTCAAAATTCAGGAGGAAAAGATGGGTTGACTGGAGGAATTACTTACCGTTGAGACTGAGGAGCCTCTTGAGTTGGGACGACTCTGTTTCGGTGAGACTAGATTAGCACCTGGTGAATTTGAACGAATCCGTTCAAAGGTTGGACTCTTTGGCCGGAATTTATGGTAAGGAGGAGCAGGAAGAGGAGGTGGTGATGTACAAGGTCCCCTCCCATTTTCATCTCTTGGTATGACACTCTCATAGATCGGTTCTCCCCCTGATTTTTTGGGGGCCTCATTACCATCGACGCTCCGAGGGGATGGAGAAGGCGACCCGTTTTTTAGAGTATTCCCGCTTTGCCGAATTTCTTCAGTTTTTGGAACCGTGGCAGAAGTTGTGACTGGAGGGGGAGGAGGAGGAACAGTTGGTTCAGGCAGCAATCGAGCAATGGGTTTTACGATTGATTTACTGCCGTTAACTTTGTTAGTGAGGTTTGCAATATTTTTATGGAGAGGGGAGAGTGAGGTTGGTGCATTATTGTTGTTATTATTGTTTGTATGGTTGTTGGCACCATTGATAGATTCACCATTGTTGTTGTTGATGTTATTTTGTAGATTCAAACTTTCTAATTCTTGCTGCAGAACAGACTCCAACTGTAAATAGAAAACATTCTGTATTATCTGTTTATGAAAGATAAAAACCAACAGAGATTGCAAAACCAATTCCATCGAAAATATCCTAATTCAACTGACTCAAATAATTAAATTAATGATAAATAAAT